AGAGTAATCACACTGTTTCTTAGTTTGGAGAAATTGGCCAATGAACAATTTGAGATTCCCTTGATATGTCCACCTCCTCGCTTATGCACCGACAATGGTGTAATGATCGCTTGGGCTGGAGTTGAAAGATTCCGTGTAGGTCTAATGGATGATTATACCATAGACCACGCGCCAAAATGGCCGATAGAAAGTCTATCGGATGGAATGGGTTGATGAAATGTTCGATTCATGGTTAATCAGGTCAAGGGCCATGTAAATCGGGCCCGCATTTTCTGAAGCGAAAAATTTTAATTCCTAGGTTTGATCACCAATAGTTAGTGACTGAATCTGACACCAAATCTTCATTTATTGAAATACATTACATTTTGAAATTACATACGTAAAAATACACCAAATTAATATTTTAATCTGTAATCACTCATTACGTTTTTTTTTTTGTTATATTCATTGGAATTAATGTTTACCCTTAAAATTGAATTCAATATAATAAATAAAGTTGGTCTTTACTATGCATATCGTATCCCATATAGGTTCAAGTCTCAAAGTTAGGTCAAACCCTGATCTTCCATTAAATATTTGAGCAAGATATTCCTGGTGGCATTCTCATTCCGATCTATCTTCACCTTGCCCGAATCACCTTTAAATATTTTTGATTCATCAAGATCATTTTTTACAAGTTTACAATTCCTACATGTTTCGATGCAATTGATAACCCTGTAACCTCTGAACTTTTGACTTATCATGTAAGAATATCTAAAAACTGAATGTGATCAAGTTAGCATTGTACAAGCAGTCTTTGATCAAATTTTTCATTTGTTCTTTGAGGACTTGAACTTGGATAAAAAAGGATCTTATAATTATGACATGATTAATTAATAGATCAGCTAATAATGATACCTATTAATCAAATTATGAATTTGTTATATGACTCATGGCATCTTTTTTTCTTATTTGAAATCTTATTTTTTTTTGTTATTGTTTTATTCGAAACAAAATCATTGTTATTTTATAATTTTTTATAATTGAATAATTTGAACAATTGGTTAAAAGTATTATTATTTTCATCCAATTAATTAACTAATCATATTCATAATATTTATAAACATGCAAATATTTGAATAA